GCTCTCTCCATCCTCCTCACTAACTCTTCTTCTTCTTCTACATATTCTCGCTCCTGTGTGGCGGCGTGCAGCGAGTCGGCGTGCCGTTTCTACTGCCACCAGATGAAGGGTAAGCACCTCGCCATCAAGAAGATGAACGAGATCCAAAAGAACATCGACGGCTGGGAGGGGAAGGACATCGGCCAGTGCTGCAATGAGTTCATCATGGAGGGTACCTTGACCCGCGTCGGCGCCAAACACGAACGCCACATCTTCCTGTTCGACGGCCTGATGATCTGCTGCAAGTCTAATCATGGCCCGCCGCGGCTGCCTGGTGCCAGTTCGACCGCGGAGTACCGCCTCAAAGAAAAGTTCTTCATGCGCAAAGTTCAGATCAACGACAAAGACGACAAGGAGGGCGAGTACCGCCACGCCTTCGAGATCATCCTGAAAGACGGCAACAGTGTGGTGTTCGCCGCCAAGTCTGCAGAGGAGAAGAACGGCTGGATGGCGGCGCTGATCTCGCTGCAGTACCGCAGCACGCTGGAGCGCATGCTGGACACCGCCATGCTGCAGGAGGAGAAGGAGGAGCAGATGAGACTCCCGGGCGCCGAGGTGTACCGCTTCGCCGAGCCCGACTCCGAGGAGAACGTCGTGTTCGAGGAGAACGTCCAGTCCAAGTCCGGCATTCCCATCATCAAGGCGGGGACTGTCCTGAAGCTGATCGAGAGACTCACCTTCCACATGTACGCAGGTGAGGCGTGATGTCACACAGGTGAGATGTCGTACTGCTGCTGTTTTAGCTTCCTGACCTGTAGCTTGAGTTTCAACGTGGCGGCGAGGTGAGACTTGGGGGCGATGTGCAGGTTTTAGACATGTCAGCTGATTTAAACGGCTAAACGACCTCCAAGTTCTCCAGAGGCTGCTAATGAACTCACCATGTGATTCAGGTGTGTCGACCCAGGTGAGATCTAAAAGCTGCAGCCGGCCCTCGAGGCTGACTGATCTGATCCTCACTGATCAGCTCGTGTTTTTTCCTTCAGATCCAAACTTCGTCCGGACTTTTCTGACCACCTACAGATCATTCTGCAAACCTCGGGAGCTGCTGGACCTGCTCATAGAGAGGTGAGCTTACCTGCCAGGCACAGTGACCAATCAGAACGCCTGCTCTCACACAGCGGTTTCATTAAAACCCCGTCGTCTCGTGTGTTATTGGGTTTATTTATCATTTAAACAAATAGAGCCATATATACAGCAGACTGGCTCATATTTACATCTCAGGGTGTCTCTGGTTGCCTAGCAACACATTGTTTACACGCAGTCTGGAGAACCAATCAGAGCACATTGAAGGAGCTCGGACAGAAAAGCGTCTGGACTTCTTTAAGTTCCTTGAAGACGTTTCATCCCAGAAGCTTCTTCAGGTCTGAGACCAGATGTGGAGTCCCAGATTTAAGCCCTGTGGGAGTGTCCCCCCCCAGGGTCCTGCACCCCCTATTGATCATCTGCCTGATCAGCATCTAAGTCCACTGTGTACGACCATCTTTGAACAGAGGGCGGGGCTTACCACACCAACTGTCTGCCGTCTGTAATCCAGTCTGAGATCCTTCCCAGATGCCTTAACACCCACTCACTTCCTGGGCCATCTGACCTCAGTAAGTCACATGATAGGGTGGGGCCAGGTTTCACAGCGGGTTCACCTGATGCCACCTCACAGGGGTTAGGGGTCTACGATGACCTGGATCCTCGTGTGATTAGGGGAGGTTCAATAGGGGGTGCAGGACCCTGTTGGGGGACACTTCTGGGACGTCAGGACGAAGCTTCTGGTCTCAGAACTGAAGACGCTTCTGGGATGAAATGTCTTCAAGGAACTTAAAGAAGTTCCTGCAGTCAGAATAACTTACCGTATTGTAACGAGTAGATATTTACTTTGTGCCATAATTATTCTGTAAGAGCTTTTGTTTTTAAAATAATTAAATTAGATCTTAAAAAACCCCAAAGAAGTCCAGATGCTTTTCTTTCTGAGGCGACGATGAGCTGGAGGACTGAGAACCTTCACAGACAATCGGAGCAAATAAAGTGTGAGGAGCAGGGCGCAGGAGGAGGAGCAGAGGTCTTCTGTTAATGCTTCCAGTTTTCTCCATTTTGGGAATGGAAACCATCTTTCAATGGGCTGAAATTTGACGATATTCCTGCCCCCTTGTGGACTGTGGGGAGGTCGCAGCAGAAGCACACCTGTGGATCTCGACAGGTGTGCTTCTGCTCTCAGCTCTGTGATGTTGATGTTTTCAGGTTTGAGATCCCGGAGCCAAAGCCGGCGGACGCCAATCAGACGGAGGGAGGAGAACAGCCACCCAGCGCTGAACTCAAACGCTTCCGGAAAGAGTTTGTCCAACCTGTTCAGCTCAGGTAGGAAGCGCTCCAAGAGACACCTGCTCACACCGCTCTGAGTTCTGCTCGAGTCTGGAATAAATCGAAAATGATGTGACTTAATTTAGTAATGTCGTCGTCCTGCAGAGTGTTGAATGTTTGTCGCCACTGGGTCGAACATCACTTCTATGATTTCGAGAGAGACCCTCTCCTTCTGAGCAAGATGGAGGACTTCATTGCTTCAGTCAAAGGTACATACAGGTGTTCAGGAAGGTGCAGCACAGATGATGATGATGATGAGTTTTAAAAAGGTCAGCTATTCTTTTCTTACAAGATGAAATTGAATATGAAAACATAAGCAAGGAAATTACGTCACATGTCGCAGGTAAGGCGATGAAGAAGTGGGTGGAGTCAATCACCAAGATCATCCAGAGGAAGAAGCAGGTCCAGGTGAGCGTGCCCAGTCACAGCATCACCTTCCAGAATTCCCCTCCTCCCATCGAATGGCACATCTGCAAACCCGGAGACACCGAGCACTTCGACCTTATGACCCTGCACCCCATCGAAATCGCCCGCCAGCTCACCCTGCTCGAGTCCGACTTTTACAGGTAACGTGCCGCCCTGCGCCTGTCTGGCACCAGTCTGGCACCTGTCCCACTGTAACCACTGACCTCCACCTGCAGGGCGGTGCAACCGTCTGAGCTGGTCGGCAGCGTCTGGACCAAAGAGGACAAAGAGATCCACTCGCCCAACCTGTTACGGATGATCCGACACACCACCAACCTCACCCTGTGGTTTGAAAAGTAAGCCTTACTTTGGCGTGGGCGGGGCCTAGTGTGCGGTAACTAAGTAAGTCAGGCTGATGTCAGCTGTACTTTCTCTGCAGGTGTATCGTAGAGACGGAGAACCTGGAGGAACGCGTCGCTGTCTTTTCCCGGATCATCGAAATCCTGCAGGTGTTTCAGGAGCTCAACAATTTCAATGGTGTCCTAGAGGTCGTCAGCGCCATGAACTCTGCACCCGTGTACAGACTGGATCACACCTTTGAGGTAATGATGACCACGAACGTCATTGACATCAGACGGATCAGAGTTTAATCTGCTGACAGAGATGTGAGCGTCGTTGTGTGTTTGAAGAAATGTCGGTTTATGGTTGCAGCAAATTCCGAGTCGTCAGAGAAAAATCCTGGAGGACGCTCACGAGCTCAGCGAGGACCACTACAAGAAGTACCTGGCTAAACTGCGCTCCATCAACCCCCCCTGCGTCCCCTTCTTTGGTATGATTCCCTCGGGATTAGTAGTATTATCAGTCAATCAATTCATCAATGATTCAATTCTCACCGATCTCTAACTACGCAGCTCGAAGGTCAAATAACTGTATGTGTGTGCGTGACAGGAATCTACCTGACCAACATCCTGAAAACGGAGGAGGGAAACCCCGACTTCCTGCACAGACACGGCAAAGATCTGATCAACTTCAGCAAGAGACGGAAAGTGGCCGAGATCACCGGAGAGATCCAGCAGTACCAGAACCAGCCGTACTGTCTGCGGGTGGAGGGTGACATCAGGGTGAGGACACGCCCCCTCACCTTCTGTTCACACACACACACTTTGGCGACAGTGGGAAGGAAAAACTCCCTTTTAACAGGAAGAAA